ATTTCGTTTGCCTGCGGAGGATTGATCACCCACCATTAACTGCTAGTTGTTAAGTCTATCTCTTATTTCATAGTCTTATACAGAGTCTCCAAGCTCTTTAAATAATGTTGTTTCTTTTTCTTTTTCTCTTTTTAGATGTCTTCGTCAAGTGAAGAACTAGATGTCACCTCCACGGAGGAAGTTACCAGGCCATCCAAGCCAACCTCTCGGCCTGTTTCGCCGGCGCTCTCGCGCCATTCAGTCTACGAGAGAAAGCCCAAGGATCCCACCAAGAGGGTCAGCTCAAGGAGCAGGATGACTGTGCCCAAAAGAAGGGCTCCAATGGCTTCGGCTAGCCCCAAGAAGCCAAACAAACAGTTCAAGGCAGTAAACCCCCGAGAAGCCGCGGTAAACCCCAAAACAGTGGTGCGAGCCCATCCCTCCATAGAGGTCACCACCTCAGCTGGCCTCTTGACAAAGGCCAAAAGAGTCAGTCGCATTCCTATAAAATGCGTCAATCCGCGGCCCCGGCCTGCTGCATCAGCCGCGGCTCCAGGCCAATCTGCAGTCGACGGGCCCAGACCCGCCGTTCCCCAGCCGTCAGCAGTAACGCTCGATATCGAGGACATCCTCCTCCAAACCCCTGAGCCTATCCGGACGCCGCCCACGTCGTCCCCGTTCCTTCCTTCCCTTTCGCCTACTCCACCTGCTCCTCGCCCACAAGCTTCGCCCCGACCCGTCGTTACTCCCCCTACCTTCACCTCGCCAATCAATCTGGTGTCCCCCTCCATTGTTATTCTCTCTCCCATTGCCTCTCCGTCCTCCACGCTGAGGCCGCAGTCCTTGCGGGGCTCCCCTCGGCGGCCTATGATAATCAAGGTCGCCGACGCGAAACTGCAGACTCCAGCCTGGATGCTGGAGAGTCTGATCGAAGAATACCTGGGGAAGGCGCCATCAAAGACGTTGCCGCCCTGGTTGGTGAGGAAAATGGAGCTGGCGGCGTGTCGGTCGCGCGCGAGGGCGCGCCTTCATCAGGACGAGCAACCGGAAGAAGGACGGCGCAGAGGACAGCACAGCGGGCGACGTCCAGAGCCCCAGCGGCAGAGGAGTCACCAATCAAGCCGCAGTCAGCCACGCTCCGGCTCTAGAGACCAGCGTCGTTCGAAAGACCAGCGTCGTTGAAGTTGTCTTGTATTGTCTTTTATTGTATTTTCTTGTATTCTTTATATTATTATGTGTAAGCTGTACTAATAGAGCCAAATAGCTTACCTAATCATTTTGTTTTTTTTTTTTTCTTTGCCTCTGCCTCCTCCTTTTCTAATGAAACCCCCTTTTGTGGTTTCATGGCGGGCGGTATGTTTATACCAGCCTCCTCCGTCTGCAAATGCGAATTTTTAAATTATAGAATTTTTGG